AAAAAAAAAAGCCTGCACTTTTAACATGTTCCTGCTTGGTTTGGTGTGTGTTGACTTACGCTCTCAGTGGGAGTCCATCACAGTGTCTGCCAAACAATAGTCTGATACATGTTGATGGCATGGTAGTTCCCTGCCTTCAGCTGTAAAGATGTAGCCCTAAGCTAACCCAGGATTCTATAAAGTTCAGAATTTTTAAAAAGTTTTTTTAACTTAGGGATTTCTTAAAAAATAATTTTATTTACTATTTTTATTTTATGTGTGTGAGTGTATTGCCTGCATGTATGTAAGTGCACCTGTGTCACACAGTGCCCACAGAGGCTAGAAGAGGGTGTTGCATCCCCTGGAGCTGGAGTTACAGGAAGTTTTGAGCCATCTCACAGGGGTACTGAGAACCAAATCAGGTCCTCTTATAAAACATTGTCTGTTAAACCAAATAGTTTCTCTGTGCACTTTTTAAGTAACAATCATCTATTGAGCATGTCCCACACACTGAAAGATACATTTTCTAACTCACTGCATTGCACATCTACTTGGGGAAATGTAATGTATAATGCTCATTTAGGAAAAGAAATGTGGGGACAGTGCACATGCTGTGTTTGTAGTAGATCTGTGACCTTAGACAAACAACCTGAGTCCTAGTTTCCTTGTCTATGAAAAGAAGAGAATGCTACATTTTTAAAAAAATATTTTTACTTTATGTGTATGCATGTATTGCCTGCATGTAGGTAAGTGCACCCGTGTTGTGCAGTGTCCATGGAGGACAGAAGAGGCTGTTGGATCTCCTAGAACTGGAGTTACGGACAGTTGATAGCTGCCATGTGGGTGCTGGGATTCAAGCCCAGTTCTTCTGCAAGAACAGCCAGAGTTCTTAACCGCTGAGCCATCTCTCCAGCCCCAAGAATGCTACATATTTTATAGAGGTGGCTTGTAAGTTTTTAAAGGGTTATTAGATAGTGAAATGCCTTAGAACATAGGGAATACCAATAAATTAGCAGCTGGTATCATTAGTGAACAGCTCAGGAGTAATATAAAGCCAGAATCTGTTCCAATGATGTTACTATTCTGTAAATACACTTTAAAAAAAAAAAATTATGTGTGTGAATATTTGCCTGCATGCATGAATGTGCAGTGTGTGTGTCTGGTTCCTTCAAGGGCCAGAAGAGGGCATCTGATCCTCAGGAACTGGAGTTACAGGCAGTTGTAAGCCACCATGCTGGTTCCTGGAACCAAATCCAGGTCCTCTACAAGAGCAGCAGGTGTTCTTAACCACTGAGCCATCTCTCCACCCCTGAAAGTATACTATTCACATTACCTCCTAGTGGCAAAATTTTGCCTTTTAAGGGTAAATTTCCTTTTTGAAAATGACCAAGACACAAAATCAGACATTGGTACAAGTGGTTTTTGTTTTTGTTTTTGTTTTTTTCAGTCTTTTTGAAGCAGGGTCTCCTTGTAGCCCAAGCTGCCCTGGAACTCACTATGTCAACCAGGCTGGCCTTGAACTCACAGAGATCCACCTACCTCTGCCTCCCAAGTGCTGGGATTAAAGGCGTGTGCCACCACGCCTGGCTGGTGTAAGTATTTTTGTTGTTAGTGATACTATAACAACCTGCTGGGTGTGGTGGCACACACCTTTGATCCGAGCACTCGGGAGGCAGAGGCAGGCGGATCTCTGAGTTCGAGGCCAGCCTGGTCGACATAGTGAATTCCAGGACAACTGGGCCTACAGAGAGACTCTGCCTTAAAAAGAAAAAAGAAAAAAAAAAAACCTCACAAGGTGAAGTTTAACCATTATGTAATAATGTGATATTTATTGCTCTGTCTCATAAACTGGCTTTGGAGGCAATTCTAGAATAGGTGGGGGTTTTTTGTTTTTGTTTTTTGTTTTGTTTTGTTTGTTAGCAGTGAAAACATACCACTAAGAACTTCGCAAGGTTAATCTACTGTGCTTTGAAAAGCAGTGGTTTTAGTCTGTGCTATTTTTAAAAATTTTTATTTTATGTTTATAAGTGTATTGCCTGCATGTAGGTAAGTGCACCCGTGTTGTACAGTGCCTGTGGAGGACAGAAGAGGGCGTTGGAACCCCTGGAACTGGAGTTACCAATGGTTGTCAGTGGCCATGTGGGTGCTGGGAATCGAACCTGGGTCCTCTGCAAGAGCAGTCAGTGCTCTTAACCGTTGAGCCTTCTCTCCAGCCCCATGTTTGTACTATTAAGTACTGAAATAAATGACATGGCTCTACTCTATGATGTGGGAGCTCAAAAGGGCTCAGAATAGAGCAGATTGCTTTGGGAAAGCCTTGAGGAGACTTGAACTGAACCTTAAAGGATAGGTAGGATGTGGTAGTAAAGGAAGAGAGATTTCAGAGCATTGTGGAGAGTTATAAGGAAAAAGCATAGATAATTTGGTTTATTTAGCAAACACTGATATATTTATATATTTGGTTTATATATTTGGTTAAACCTTGGGAGCCCAGATGTAGGAATTGCTCAGGCATTAATTAAGGACTACACTGGGAAAAAAGCACATCCAAACAAATAATTACAATATAGTACATAGTAGAGAAGGGCATACCTGATCCAGCTGAGGTAGTGAGAAAGGAGAAGCCCAGGTCAGGCTGATGTGGTCGGCTGCTGTGTAAACATAGGACTTAGCTCTCTGATGTAAGACATGCCAAGCCTCTGAAAAAGATTTAAGCAAGTGTTTTAGGGAAATTAGTGAGCTAGTAGTACACAGAGTAATTTGAAGGAGTAAGAGATTGGACATAGAGCATGAGGAAGGCCTTTGCAGAACAGGCTAGATATGAGAATACTTGCTAGAAATGTGATGAAGGGCATAGAAAAACTGGGGGAAGGTCATCTAGAATAGACAAAAAAAATAGGGTTCTTGACATGTTGGAACTGAATTTTAAAAATCATACATTTATTCTGAATGTTGATATTTAGAAAAATGGAGGTCCTGTTCAAGAAATAAGCATGAGCCGAGTGTGGTAGCACCCAGTTATAATCCCAGCACTCAGGAAGCTGAGCAAAAGATGAGTTCCAGATCAGCTTGGGCCACCTTACAAGTTTAAGATAGCGCTGAACTACATAGTGACACCAAGCTAAAAAACCAAACCCAAGCTAAACAAATGAGAGGGGAAGGAGAGGGGAGAGAAAAAGAGGTGGGGCATCACGCCTGCTTTTCTTGACGCCCTGAGGCTTGCAGTCTGGTTCTTTGGGAATGCACCAAGGTGCTCTTTTATTTTCTATTATTTTTTTATTTTTGAATAGTGAACTTCATTATGACATTTCCATACATTTGTTTTGCACATTGCTCATGTTTGCTTCCTCACTACCCTCCTGGAAAGGTCCTTTCTTAGCTTGTGTGTCTCACTCTCCTTTTTCCTTCAGCTCTGCACCCAAGCCTAACTGCTTTGAATTTTAATTGCAGCTCCTCCACCCCCACCACCTATGATCCGAAATGGTACCAGGGATGCTCCCCCTCCCCCACCACCATACCGAATGCATGGGTCAGAACCCTTGAGCAGAGGAAAGCCCCCACCTCCACCCTCAAGGACGCCAGCAGGGCCACCCCCTCCTCCACCACCGCCCCTGAGGAATGGCCATAGAGATTCTATCACCACTGTCCGATCTTTCTTGGGTAAGTTGTTAACTGTTTTGTCTCCGTTCCTGTGGTGATGTCACTGACTCCAGTGCCTTAGCTGCGAGGTGGCCCATGTAGATTGGGAATGGCCCAGAGGAGTCGTCTTTATTCACAGCAAGCAGTTCCTCTCCTGACTTTGACCTGGACTTCTGCTCCCCATCCATTGGCATCCCTTCCTTCTGTGAAAGATGGAAGCAAAGTCATCAAAGTCTGCTAACTCCAAAACTACTCTCAGGTCTCCTCAAGGATCATGGCTTATGGTTAGGTTTTCCATAGGAGATTATATTCTCTTTAGGATTGTTCAGGCATATCCTAGAATTATGTGTCCAAGGAGGAAAGTCCCTTTCTGGCTACCTAAAACAAACAAGAGGGTGGGGATGTAACTCAGTGGTAAAGCACTGGCCTAGCAGGTGCAAGGCCTTGGGTTCAATCTCTAGCACTACAAGAAAAGCACAAGCCGGGTGTGGTGGCCCACACCTTTAGTCCCAGCACTCAGGAGGCAGAGGCAGACAGATCTTTGTGAGTTCAAGGCCAGCCTGGTCTACATAGTGAGTTCCAGGACAGCAGGGGCTACAGAGAGACCCTGTCTCAAAAAGATAGAAAAGCACAAAAAGCTAAACAGACTTCGCATGCTGAGGCCTTCAGTTTCAGGCCAGCACTGCAAAAACCAAACAAAAATATTGTACAAACAGAGGTCAGTAGCCAACCAGCTGTTGAAGAAGCCATTTCATTTCTCTGGGCTCTACTTTTACTATCTATGAAACAAGGAGATTGACCAGATCAGGGGTTTATCAGATTAACTTTTCCAGGGTTATGAATGTTGGGGTCTCTACTTAAGAGAATCCAACTCATGGTCTAGAGTAGGGCCGTAACTAACGGTTGTCCAGAGAGGAGTCTTGGGACCTCTGTCAAAGACTCCTGAATCAGGTCTTTTCCCACTCTTAATACTCTATAGATTTTTTTTTTTTTTCCCTTTTTTTTGCCTTTTTTTGAGACAGGGTCTCCCTGTAGCCTCAGCTGGCCTGGAACGCTCAAAGAAATCTGTCTGCCTCTGCCTCCAGAGTGCTGGGATTAAAGGCATATGCCACCATGCCCGTCCTCTTTTTTTTTTTTTTTTTTTAAAAATAATAATTTTTTTTAGAATTTCATACATGAATATGGTATATCTGCATAATTTCCACCCCTCTCACTCCCTCATGTTCCCCACCACCCTTTCTCAGTTTCTTACCCTCTTCTTTATTATTGTTACACATGCATGCATACACTTCCCATTCCTCCACACTCCAGTCTGTTCCTATTAGATGCACCAGGGTTCTACTTTGAACAGAGACCCATAATTACAGAAATTGTTGAAATGTGGCAGGTCATGGTGGGATGTGCCTACAAGCCCAGCACAAGGATCAGTTGAGACAGGAGAATCTTCAGTTCAAAGCCATTCTGTGCTATGTAGCCAGGCTCTTATCTCAAAATAAATAAATAATAAAGATAAATGAAAGAAAGAAAGAAAGAAAGAAAGAAAGAAAGAAAGAAAGAAAGAAAGAAAGAAAGAAAGAAAGAAAGAAAGAAAGAAAGAAAGAAAGAAAGAAAGAAAGAAAGAAAGAAAGAAAGAAAGAAAGAAAGAAAGAAAGAAAGAAAGAAAGAAGATAGAACACAGTGATATAAAGGGGGAAAGAAAGAAAGAAAGAAAGGGAAAAAAAAAGGGGACGGCTTTGAAGTAAAAAAGAAACTTGAAATGTGATCAAACCACTCCTACAGGAAACCTTGAATCTTCTTGTGAAGGGGTAATACAAAGTAGGAGCGTGGGTGAAAAGATGGCTGTTTGAACTAAATAGGGTAATCTAGGCTGAAAGAAAATTTTCTGGTTAAAACTCTCATTAGTTGGAGACACATATTTCCATTTGAGGTTAATTTCTACCAACCTGTAAGTTCAATTCAGTTATTTTCCCATGGCAACAATGATCTGTTGCACCTTAAGCTCCACGATTGGCTGTGCTGACTTGTCAGCAAGCCCCAGGGATCTTTCTATCTCTGCCTCCCCAGCCCTGGGAGTGATGACAGGCCTGTGTCACCACACCCGACTTTTTATATTGGTGTTAGAGATAGGAATTCAGGTGGCAAGCACTTTGCTGACTGAGCCAGTTCCCCAGTTCCTAAGCATCATGACTGTCCACTGTGCACGATGGGCACCAGGGGGTTGCTATTGCTGTTTGAGGAACTTGGTTTGGTGAGTGGTATAGGCTGTCCATTCAGCAGAGCCCAGGAGAGATCAGTAAGGAAGTCAAAAGTCTGTGGGGGCATGATTTGATTCTCTGTTCTTTTCATAGATGATTTTGAGTCCAAGTATTCGTTCCATCCAGTAGAAGACTTTCCTGCTCCAGAAGAATATAAACATTTTCAGAGAATATATCCCAGCAAAACAAACCGAGGTGAGATGGTAGTAAAGAAAAGTGTCCATGCTTGCATAAAACAGAATTTGTGTCTTCTGAGGACAAATATGCTTCTCCACATGTTCATTTCTTTGTTTTTGTTTTTTGTTTGTTTGTTTGTTTTGGAGACAGGGTCTCAAAGTGTGTGTAGTCGTGACTGACCTGGAACTTGCTATGTAGTCCAGGCTTCAATTCACAGAGATACACCTGCTTCTGCCTCATGAGTACTGGGAGCCCAGCCTCACATCATCTTTTTTTTTTTTGGTCTTTTTGAGACAGGGTCTCCCTGGAGTCCCAGCTGGCATGGAATTCTCTATGTAGACCAGGCTGGTCTTGATCTCACAGAGATCCACCTGTCTCTGCCTCTCGAGTTCTGGGATTAAACACATGTGCCAGATATCATTTATTTTAAAATTTTATTTTATTACATTTATTTATTTGTATGTTGGGGGGTACATGTATGCCATAGCACACATGTAGAAGTCTGTGGGAGTTGGGTATCTCCTTCCACCATATTGGTCCTGGGGGTCAAACTCAGGTTGACAGACTTGGAAGCAAACACCTTTACCTACCAAGCCTTGTCTCAACCCTAGTCTCTGTATTTTAAAGATTGGCTTAGAGAGCCTGTCTCATTTCAGAAACGTTAGTCAGGGTCTGGTATGTGACCTGAATGTGTCTGGTTTTTTTTTCCTCCAGCTGCCCGTGGAGCCCCACCTCTGCCACCCATTCTCAGGTGAAGCCTGGCTGGTCCTGTTCCTTAGGAAAAGGATGGACCTCCTCTTCTCAGATGGTCCCCTCATTCCCCTGAGACCTGCATGAGAGCTCCTACAGTGTTTCTCCAGTGCTACCAACCCTAGCCTCCAAGCATCCTTCCCAGCCCAGCTCCATCTATGCGTCTCATCTCTGGACTTGGTGATTGGACTCTTTCTGTTGGCAGCAGGGTCTCAAGCCCTGCCTCCGGTCTTCTTCCAGCAAGCCCGGCTAGCCAGAAGAGAAGAAAGCTTCCATGTTTCCTGCTTTCCTCCAGGGAAAGGTGCCTTGTTGTGAATGAACTCATTGTTGGGCAGGATAGAGAATGATACCCTGTCTGCTTTTATCCGCCATGGGGGATGTTTAATAGGTGCGTTGTATTCCATTGTTTAGGAGGTTGGTATGGCCAGGATTTCTGAGGAAAGGGCACTTTTAGTGAAACAGGAAAGGAGCTTACAGAGAAGTGATCTGTTTTAAAGGTCAGATTTAGAGAAAGGACAAGGAAATGTGTCTTTATTTTTAAGAGTATTTTGGTTTTGTTCTCATCCCCGCCCCTCATCCCAAGGGATAAATTGAATATACATACTACATACTAATCAGTTGAGCTAAACAATAAAAGAAGAGGATGAACTAAACTGAGGATCATTTTAGAGTTAGTTAGTTTTTCTGCAGCTAAGGAACCAGGAGATGTGAGTCCTCCGTGTCTCCTGCCCGCTTCCTCAGGGTGCTGGGTTGGAGAGTATCCTTCCCCAATCCCTCAAGAGAAGAGTCACTTTTTGTTGGGGGCATTATTCATCCCTGAGTCACAAACCACAAAACTTTTTGGTAAGAGATGAGAAGAGGCGCCTAGGGCTTTAACCTCAACCTCAAGTCTGCCTCAGTGTTTTCTGATGGACCCTGAAGAGATCAGTGGCCCTTTGAGTCCTTCAGTCCTTGGAGAATGCTCCAGGGAGACTAAGAAGGAAAGGAGGAAGCACTCCCTGAAAGAGTCTGGCTCTGTAGGGCTACAAAGGTACTTGGCAGCCTGCTCATACTGAAGTTCACAGCCCATCTGATGGAGCAGGCCCTTTCTATTCTTTTCTCTGTCACCCTTACCTTCCCAAGACTGCAGGGGCTAAGACTGCAAAGTAAAGAAGGGTGAGGAAGTATCTAGAAGCTTTGGGGTTACTCAGATTCTTCAATGCCAAGAAGCACAAAGACTTAGGCGAAGTGTGCCTGAGTCCAATAGGCAGGTCTTCCTTGGCAGCCAGCAATATATGGTTTCTGTCTTCCAGGTCCTAGGCAAAGAGCACAGAGAAAATGGGTGTTTCAATTGAAGTTGGACTTTTGGACAGTGAGTGTCCTTTCTCCAACAGCAGAGGGGGGCACCTGGGCCCGACACGCCAGATGAGTTGGTTTCCTATGGCTATGGCTGTGGGCAAAGGCTGCTCAGATTTTGCATGACAGCAGGGAGACCAGGTTGTTCTTTGAATTGAGTGGGGAAAGTTAGTTAGAAACTTTCAGATACATCACAGATTTAAACTGTCATAGGGACCTTTCTAATCTATTGGATCATGGGCTAAGGATCTGTGCGTGATGCCAGGTGAAACCCAAATCTTTCCAGTGCTGGTGAAAGAGGGCTCAACTTTATTTATTTATTTAGTGGGTATTGTCTTTGGCCATCTCCTGGACCACAGCGGTTCTTGGGATATGCCATGATTAGATCTGTCACTAAACTTTTCTAATTATTCACTATTTGCCATTCTTTTCAAATCTGTTAGCAGTTACCTCCCAGGAGTGTCCCCAGCATCTTAAAGTAAACAGAGATGAAAGGGGAGAAGAGCTGACTGCAGCAGAATTCCAGGGTAGATGCTGACAGTTACTGAACTTTGACTGTGAAGTCTTCCCATTTATTTTGAAATGGGAGTTGATGCCTTTTGTACAATGTTATCAAAGTGTATCTTTTTTTCCCTCACTGAAACCTAAAACATCAGAATATATATATCGAAAATAAAGCCAAACCCCAGCTTTTCACTGGGGCTGATATCTTCCTCGCCATGACCTGCTGCCCCTCATATTGCCCAGCATTTGTACTGTGTCACATGGGCAGTGGTTATCTTTTCATTGTCTTTGCGTGATGGAACAACAAAAAGGCCTGGGTTTACACGGGAACAGATGGGTTTTCTCCTTCAAAGCATGTTGAGGGCACAGCACCTATTTAAATGTCTTTGCCTTATACATTATTTGGTCCCCCTGTTAATAACAGATTATCATGTATATCTGCTATTGAAGATGGTAATGTGATCCTCATAATTGTTGGTCTATTTAGTATGTTGTACAAAACTTGTAATATAGGTTGAAGGTGGGCCAACTGTAAGAGCACTAAAGTTTCTCACCTTTTAAACTGCTCTTTTTATCTGCTCATGGGATCATTGTCTCTCCAGTGGAAGATCAGGTGGTCTCATGTTGAGGCTGTTGCCTAGTCCCATTTATTTCCTTGTCCTCTCCCAAAGGGAAGAGACATTGCCCAGCTAAGCAGCAAGAAGCTGTCTTAACAACTCTTATGTGGGTTTGGTTTTGTGACATTTTTCCCCTAGTGGGAAAAAGTTAATAGCTGTTTCTTACTGCCCTGCTAGGGCCGTAGCCACCAGGTCTTCAAATGAGCTAGGTGCCCCTCTTCTGGTCACCAAACCTGGACCAAAGCACTTTGATATTCCAGGTGTGGTTTTCTCTCCTGGGGATTTGCTTGGCTGCAGAGCCCCACCATTTTCACAGCCTAAGCCACAGTGTGGCAGCCCAGGGCTAGCCTAGCAGATAGATTGGAGGCCGTTGTCTCCAGCAGTTGTCCCCACCTCCTTACCTGGCAAAGGCAAGGATACTAGTCACTGACCATTGCACTGGGGGAATCCCCTCACCCCAGCTTGAAACCCAGATTTGCCTCCAGGGAGAGGTGAGGAAAAAACAAAACTGTAAATAGACTTGCTACAGAGCACCTCAGGGTTGGGGTATGTTTTAGTTCTCCTGATCACTTGAAATAATCTGTAGGGTGAGTGCTTATGGGAGTTGGGGAGAAATGTGACTCCAGGGTCCTTCCCTTCGGTGAAGCTCTGGGGGTGGAATGGAAGGCATCCAGAGGCCCTTTGTTGGCAGTATACTGAGCTGTCTGTCCTTCTGGAAACCCAACCTACAATCAACTGTGAATTAGATTCTTCACATTCCAGTTGTAGTCTTTCTTTCCCTATTGAATCTTAGTCCCTAGCTGTGTGGTCCAGGTGGCACTTTCCTAAGCCATCCAGAACTAGGGAATGGGAAGGAAGACAGGAGGCCATTACAATTCTGCCTTCAAGCCTCATTTCTTCAAAACAAAATGAAATAAAACTATAACCACCTTCAAAATCACATGCAAAAAAAACAAAAGTTTAACTGAAGGAAGGGTTTGGTTCCATTCAACTCCATATTCATTGTGCCTTTACTTGTGTTAGCTGTCCGTGCTTCTCCCTCTATGAAGTAATTAAAATCTTCCTTGATAACTGCCATTTCTTTCTACTCTTGTTTCTTACAGTTCAGTGGGTTTCTCCTCTGTCTTAGATCTGGTTCCTGGAGGCAGAGGGGCTTAGCATAACTTCTTTTTTCATGTCTAACATTTGTCCTTTCCCACAGTGACCAGCATGGACGTTACAGTCAGCACTGAATAAAAGACTAGAATGATGTGTGTGTGTGTGCGTGTGTGCGTGTGTTCATCGTCTGCTTGTAGGTCAGTTTCTTTTAAAACAATTTTGGTGTTTTATTCTGATTATAGTGCTCCCTCTCCCAAATAGCACGGAATCACCCCCACCTCCCAATATATTATCTGGTCTCAGGTTGGATTATTTGGTACATTTCTTTCTTCTGGATGCTGTGCAGTTTAATTAAACCTTACTTTAAAAAGAAAAAAAGCAAAAAGAAAACTGTGTACTTTTGTTATGAATACTGCCTCAAGTGATAGCACAGAAAGAGGAGGAAACCCAGTTTCCTCTTCTGGGTAAGTGTGGCGATTTGATTTCTTTCCGGTCCCCACCAAAAGTATAGGTGCCAACTTGAGCAGCAGATGCATCTGCAGCTCTTCCAGAATCTTCTCCTAACAAGTCACGGTTTTAGTTAACTTTGCTGACCAGTGGTTTCTCTCTTGAATTTGCCACTTCACTCTCCTTTCACCTGTGATTTCAAGGAGCCCTGGAGGCTCCCCATTCTTCTGAATCCTTTTGTTATAGCCCTTCAGATTCTACCTATAACTGCATGGCTGATTTTCAGCTAGACAGTGGGAGAGAAGATGGGGGTAGGGCGTGCAGGTGCATGTGTATCCATTTTTATGTGGATGCTGGCTGGTTCTCTTCAATGCTTTTTAAGTTGAAGTTTAGCTGGTTTTCTTGAACTTTGACTTTAGGTGTAAACGTTCAACCAGGCACTCTTTGCTTCCTGTGTCAGCTGACATAATAACCAGTGAGGACCAGCGAGCTTAACCTGTGCTTTCATTGCTAGCAAAGGTCTTCAGTTATTTCCCATACTGATTTATAGTGGGTGTGTGTCTGAGTCACTCTCACATAATTTAGATACAGAAACTTATGGGGGCATATTATCTCATTTTCATCCATACTTACCAGATTGGCTGAATTCCTGATATTTAACCCATTGGTTTACTAATATAATTCATAAACTACCTATTTCTTGATTTAATTGTTCTTCCTGACTTAAGAGTCTGCAAATGGAGCTTGCTTAAATGACCCTCAACCTCCTAACCCTCTGCCTCTCACTGGAATGGTTATTGCTAGTCTGTGTACACACACTCAGAAAGATGCCAGACAGGTCCTTCCAGTGTGATTTGATTCCTGCTCCATGACACTGAGTTAGATAAGAACACTAGTTTACTCACCATTGATGATGATTATGAAGCAGACTGCTTGCTGTGAATGTGCCTCTTGAGTATGTCCCGGTTCAGGCCAGCCAGCCATGAACTATGCAACTTACTGGAAGGAGGTTGCCTTTCTCTGACTGCTTCATACTCTACAGACCTTATGAGAATTAACTGTCAATCTCCGCATCCTGACTACTTCAGAGTGTAACTGTGGAAAGGATTTTACCTTTGACATCACTGAAGCACAGTCCTGACTTTTTTTTTTAATGTGTATGCATGTGTTGCCTGCATGTAGGTAAGTGCACCCATGTCATGCAATGCCCGCAGAGGTCAGAAGAGGCTGTTGGATCCCCTGGGGCTGGAGTTATGGACAGTTGTTAGCTGCCATGTGGGTGCTGGGCTTCGAACCTGGGTCTTCTGCAAGAACAACCAGTGTTCTTAACTGCTGAGCCATCTCTCCAGCCCCATCAGTCTGGACTTTTTACACATAATTCTTCGAGGTTTAGGGTGTGAGAAAAAAATATATATTGCCATCCAACCACAAAAAAAGTGTAAGTGGACATCAACTTGGCAAAATGTCCTTTCCTCCCTTCATTTGGCATGTATTTATCATGTATGTATAGTAGACAGGTACACATGAACATGAGTAAGATATGGTCTTTGCCTCCAAAGGCCTCCAAAGCCCATAGTCTAATAGATTTCATGACAGTTACCTGGAGGAACCTATGCAGGATATTAAAAGACTTTAATAGGAGTTAGCCAGGAAGGAGGGTAAACAGCATTCCAGACAGGAAACAGTAAGAACAATGGAGCAGAAATGAAAACCTGATGGTGTGAGCATGTGGTTACTGCAGGATCACTCCTAATGGAAGGGGAAGGCTTCCAGTAGATAACCTTTTAAGGGCCTTTCAATCCTAGCATGCTGTGAATATCTGCTTACATAGGAGTCATTGACTCTTGCAGACTTTTCTTGAACCAGAAGTATATATACCTCCCCCCACCCCCGTGACTGTTCTCTTAGGTTGCAATATGCACATTAAGCACTTACTGCTTCCTCATGTTCTCCATGGAAACAGGTAGGTCATGACCATGACCGCATACATTCCATTTCAAGTTGTTCTGGGCAAATTTTAGGTGCTCAAGTTAGAAACATTTTAAAAGCCCCCCCCCCATTAAAATATTTAAAAAATATGAAAAGTAAAGGTTTCTTAGGTTCTATTGTCCTATTAAGGTGAGAAATAGCCTCTGAGCTGAAAGCTTCCCTTCTCTGGTAGTTTTTTTTTTTTGTTTTTTTGTTTTAATTTATTTTTTATTCATGGCAGCTTGATCTCTTTTGAAGTTCTTAGAATGCCTTCCCTACATGTACCCATTTACTATGTTGTCCTGGGTAGAACCCACATCTCTTTACTCCTCTTCCTATGATTAAGTAGTCAAGAGTTTGGTTGGTTGTCAGACTCCAGTGTGCACATACCATCTCTTCCACTGACTAGTTATGTGATCTTGGGCAAGTTTACTCAACCTTCTCTGATTGGTTTCCACATTTGTAAAATGGAAGTAAGTACTAACTTCCTAGGGCACTTGTAAAGATTAATAAGGTGATACAGGTAAAATATTGAGCTGTCCCTGGCATATACTTAAGCACTGAGTATTCGCTCTTAACACCTATGAAATAAGAATTAACTGATGGAGGGTTGGTTAAGAGCACTGACTGCTCTTGCAGGAGACCTGGGTTTGATTCCCAGCATCCACACAGCGGCTAACAGCCGTCCTTAACTCCAGTTCTAGGGGAATCTGACACCCTCATCTGACCTCCGTGGGCATTGCATGATATGGGTGCACTTAGACATACAGACATATATATATATAATAAAACATTTTTAAAAATAATTAACTGATAAAGTAGGCATGGTGGCTCAAGCCTTTAACCCCAGCACTTGGGAGGCAGAGGCAGTTGTAGCTCTGAGTTTGAGGCCAGCCTGATCTACATAATGAAACCTAGTCTCAAAAACAAAAAACACTGATGATTGCAATATTGTTGCTTCCCTATTTCTGGTTTTATGTGTCTATTTTGTTTGATATTGAAGGATAAAAGATAAATTTTTGCTATCACCTAGTATTGGGTTCTGACCTTTAAGGGAACCTGAGGTTTATTTTTTAAATATTTTATGTGAATGTATTGCCTGTATGTGTGTAAGTGCACCTGTGTTATGCAATGACTGTGAAGGTCAGAAGACGGCATTATATTCCCCTGGAATTAGAGTTGTGGATGGTTGTTAGCTTCCATGTGGGTGCTGGGAACCAAACCGAGGTCCTCTGCAAGAACAGCCAGTGCTCCTAACTGCTGAGCCCTGGGAGTCTGAGGTTAGGATGGGCTATTAGCCTTGGAATCTGATCTGCAGATCACTGCTTTTTTTTTTTTTTTTTTTTTTTTTTTTTTTTTGTGAGGGTCTCCCTGTAGTCCCAGCTGTCCTGGAACTCCCTATGTAGACCAGGCTTTTCCCTGTAGCCCCAGCTGGCCTGACACTTGCTATGTAGACCAGGCTGGCCTAGAACGCAGAGATCTGCCTGCCTCTGCCTCCTGAGTACTGGGACTAAAGGCGTGCACACCACGCCTGGCAACTGCTTTATGTTTTTCATTAAATGCTCAGCTTGCTTCTTCAATAACTATGTTCCCTGGTTCTGAAACCCCAGTGTTTGGAAGAGATTTTAAAATTAGGAGGCCATAATTCCACACCCCACCAATGATAGATGAATACTAAGAGGGATTCACAGAAAATAATCTTATCTTGAACAAAATGAAATGGTTGGCCCTGCTCACTTTTATGACTTCCTGTTTGCTTATATGGCTACAGAACTTTACTAAAAAACTGGTTCAGGTATCAAGAGATTAGGGTCATAGCCCTTCACCACCAAGGATGCTATGACCCTATGCTATTCATTCATTCGCTTCCTGCCGTGCAGATTTGGACTTAAGGTGCTTAGCATCCGAAATGGTAAGTCCTGTGTAGTAGCTCTCTTAAAATCTAGCCCATCACGATAATGAAAAATGGGTAAGTGTGGCAATGAGAAGGGCAAAGATTCCGGGCCCCCTCCAGTAGAAGGAAAAATGCGGAAGTAGGGTTGTGTCGGGGCAAAGACTACACTTCCCGCCAGGCTTTGCGGCATCTCGGGCTCGCCTAACGAGAGTCGCGTCCGCTGCAGTCGCGCGCTTTTTATGCCGAGGTCCCGGATGTAAAGGCCCTCCCGGGCTGGAGGGCGTGGGGTCTTGTGTTGGCCCTGAGACCTGGGGCTGTCCTATTGGCTGTGGGCCCTTTGGCTGGATTGAACGCGAAGGAAAAGGGAGGAGGCCAAGGCTCGCGGCGGTATTAGAGCCAGCCAATCAGAAGCGTGACTGGGCTTTGGCGCGAGCCGGGAACGCTGGGGCAGTGCGGATTTGGCGCGATAAGAGGCTGCCGTAGTTGCTGCTGCTTCTGCTGCTGCCGCTGCTGCTGGTCAGTGTGAGTGAGCGTGGGGTGCAGGAGCCTGCACTGAGGTGCCACCGCCCCAGGAGTGGAAAGGAGTGGATTGCACACTGAGGCCTGGGACAGAGAGTATTGCAGGTTCGAGCGAGGCCCGAGGAGCTCGCAGCGGGTCGGGGTCGGGATGGAGCTCTGGAAGTGGGTCTAGCCTGTGGTGGTGTATAGGGAGGAAATGCTGGATGGGGTGGAGCTGTGTGGAGTAGGGGTAGTGCTGGCTAGTGAAAACCGAGCTGGGGGAGCCTTAATGGGGCAGTCTGGGACTAACTGTGCTAAAGGTGTCCCGCGCGTGCCTGGAGTGAAGGAACTAAACGTACAGTGGAAATCAGTGGGTAAACTTAGGGCATCGCTCAGGTGGTTAGGGATTTGGATTCTGGTGTCCGGATGCCTGGGATGATAGCCGCCTTTTTCGGTCTCATCTTAGATAGGGATGATAGTATCCACCTCAAAGGTAGTAAGACTTAGGGAGTTAATGTGTAAAATGTGTGTAGCAACATGTCACACATAGTAGGTAGACAAATGCTACTTGTTACTGTGTACATGTGGGTAGGGATCAGAACTAAATTATGTTAGCATAATTATAAGTAAATTCGATGTGTTTTTCTCTTCACTTTTTTGTATTTCCAGGCTTCCCTGTTCTTTTTTGTATCCAGCTGTGGTTATTATGCCTCAGACCCGATCCCAGGCACAAGCCATCATCAGTTTTCCAAAAAAGAAGCCATCTAGGACATTGAATAAAACAAAAACTCCTAATGACAAGAAACTAGAACTTAAAAATGTCCAGGCTATACCCTCTTCTCCTTGTCTAAGCACAAAGATTCTGCCTCTCAGCCCCAGAAAACGTTTGGGTAAGCTTTCCGTTATTTACGTGCAACTTTTTGATTCGTACCTTCCAACATTTTTCTCAGTGATAGGATGTCTCTGTTGGTTAAAATTATTCATTTTATTTGTTTTCAGAATGGCTGCTAAGAGCTTACTGAACTTAATAGTTAAGCCACTTAGTAATTGGAGATCACTTTCTGAACTAAATAGGTTTGATCTTTATTTCCTTTTTTATTATTATTATTATTTTATGTGTATGAGTGTATTTCCTGCGTGTATGTCAGTGCACCCGTGTTGTGCAATGCCGCGGAGGTCAGAAGAGGGCTTTGGATTCCCCTGGAACTGGAGTTAAGGACAGTTTGTAGCCACCATGTGGGTGCTGGGAATCAAACCCGGGTCCTCTGCAAAAGCAGTCAGTGAGTGCTCTTAACTGCTGAGCCATCTCTCCAGCCCCAGATCTTCATTTCCTTAATACTGATCTTAGTTCTGTCATTTTAAATCACCTTGAAGTTATATATGGTATTATGAAATTTGCCTAGATAGTTGAGAAATTAAGAGAAACAAATGGATATTTTTGATTTTTGTTTTTAGAGCTGGTTGACAATCGTTTCCAAGCTTTTTGTTTCGTTTTTGAGAAAGGATCTCCTTGTAGCCCCAGTTGGCCTGGAACAATGGAGACCAGGCTGGCCTAGATCTAACAGAGATCTGCCTGCCTCTGCCTCTGGGTGCTGGAATTAAAAGCGTGGGCCACTAGGCCCAGCTATTACCAGGGTTTGGTTTGGTGTTTGAGAAAGGATCTCTCTGTGGCTCAGGCCTGGGACTTACGCCCAGGATGGCCTCAAACTTGTGGTCTTTTCCTACTTCCACCCTAGCTGCTCTTTGCTTATTTGTGGTGGTTGTGCTGGGGATTGAACCCAGGACCTTAATACTAGCAGATACTGTACCTAATTTAGCTATACATGCCCTGTCCAAGACCTTTATTATTATTGGTAGATACTGTACACAGTGGTAGGGGAGAGCATAGTTGTTAATTTGGCTATATCTGAAAGCATCTGGCTACTATAGCTGGAGGGACAATACTGGAATCATGAGTGAAAGCCAGGGGGGCCTGCCAAACATCCTACAGCAGTCTTGTACAAAGGAGAGTTACTCTAAGATGTTCATGGTGCCAAGGTTAGGAAGTCCAATATATTTCATTCACTCCACTAGAACCCATTTAGTAGAAACCAAATGATAGGATTCAGTGGCGCCATCTGGTGGCCATACTCCCTCCTAACTTTCTGGGTGAGGTCTTTTCTAGTCTTTCACTGTCCTCTGTTAGGAATGACCACATTCTGGCTTCATGTTTCAGGTGATGACAACCTATGCAACACTCCTCACTTATCTCCCTGTTCTCCACCAAAGCAAAGCAAGAAAGAAAACGGTCCCCCTCATTCACATACCCGGAAGGGACGCAGATTGGTATTTGACAATCAGCTGACAGTTAAGTCTCCCAGCAAAAAAGAACAAGACAGAGTTCACCAAAACAAAATACTTTCCTCGGTTCAAAAAGATCAAGAGATCACAACAGATTCTGAACAGAAATGTTCATCGGAGAAGGAATTTGCCTGTATGAGACTGTTCAAGCAAGAAGGTGCGATCTTATGTGGCAGCTGTCAGTGCAGTCATCGTAAACAATGCCAATGATGTCCAGCGAGTCCTTTCAGGCCCCCTCTGTTGTGTTTAATTGTCCTTTTTATATTTGACACAGGCACTTGCTACCAGCAGGCAAAGCTTGTCCTGAATACAGCTGTCCCGGATCGGCTGCCTGCCAGAGAAAAAGAGATGGATGTTATCAGGAGTTTCCTGAGGGAACACATCTGTGGGAAAAAAGCTGGAAGTCTTTACCTTTCTGGTGCGCCTGGAACTGGGAAAACTGCCTGCTTAAGCCGAATTCTACAAGACTTCCAGGTACATTGAGAATCTGAATTCTGATGTATTATGATGTTCTTGCTAAATTGACATTTGATTATTTCTTTGTTTGAAATAGGGTCTCCCTGAAGCCCAAGCTCACCTGGAACTCACTGTGTAGACCAGAGACCCTCCTGCCTCTGCGTCTCAAGTGTTGGGATTAAAGGCATGCACTACCATGTCCAGCCTGATGTTTAGTTATTGGGGGTTAAGAAAAAGTAGAGGTGTAGAAGGTTGCATGTTTCCTAAAAATAAGGTTTTTTGTTGTTTCATTGTCTGAATCCTCTTATGCACTGTGAGCTCTAAAAGCCACTTTAGGGGCTGGAGAGATGGCTCAGCAGTTAAGAGCACTGACTGCTCTCGCAGAGGACCTGGGTTCAATTCCCAGCACCCACATGGTGGCTATGAACCATCCTTAACTCCAGTTCCAGGGGAATCTGAAGCCCTCTTGTGATGTCCGCAGCATTGCACAACACATGTGTACTCACATACATGCAGGCAGTACACTTGTACACATAAAATAAAAATAATAAAATATTTTTTTAAAAAGCCACTTTAAAAGTTTTGTCAAATCTTTATTGGACACCAAGATAACTCCCATGTTTGCTTTTTTTCTTTCTAGAAGGAAATGAAAGACTTTAAAACTATCATGCTGAATTGCATGTCTTTGAGGAGTGCCCAGGCTGTGTTCCCGGCCATTGCTCAGGAGATTTGTCAGGAAGAAATACCTAGGCCAGCTGGGAAGGATGTGATGAAGAAAGTGGAAAAACATATGACTGCCAAGAAGGGCCCCATGATGTTAGTATTCATGTTCCACTGCAAAAATCTGTTACCCACAAAAGGCAACATCCCTGTGTTTGCTCTTTTGCTCTAAGAAGTGGTTATATAAACTTGAAGAAAAGAAAAATAATACATTCTAATTTTTTTAGTTTTTGTTACCGATTTATTTTTAATGTGTTTTTAAGTGTCTGCATGTATGGAAGTGTACCACATGCATGCAAGTCTGCAGAGGCCAGAAAAGGGTGTTGGATCCCCTGGAACGAGATTACATATGGTTGTAAGTTGCCATGTGGGTGCTGGGAACCAAATGGGGGTCCTCTGCAAGAGTCGCCTGTGCTCTTAAACTGCTGAGCCATCTCTCCAGCCCCATTCTTTTTTCTTTCTTTTAAATTTACTTACTTATTTATTGGTGGAGCTGGGGCCTTGTGCATGCTAAATAAGCACTCTACTACTGAGTCACAAACCCAGCCCTAGAGTTTCTAATTTGGGTTTAAAGTTTAAATGTTTTTAAATTAATTTCTTAAATTTCTTAAAAACTCACCCATGATGGGGGAGATATCATTCTAAAGCTGATGATGATCTTCAAACTGGTCTCCGCTTTTAGGAATGTGACCTATATGATCTGAGTTAGCTCAGATCCAGAAGACTGGAAGATTGAGAAAGTGACTGCGAATACTAACCATTTCTCTTTGCATGCAGTGTGTTGGTGCTAGACGAGATGGATCAGTTGGACAGCAAAGGGCAGGATGTATTATACACACTGTTTGAATGGCCGTGGCTAAGCAATTCTCGCTTGGTGCTGATTGGTTAGTGCTCAGTTGTTAATGTTACATGGGATCAGAAATTTTGTTATTTTTTTAAAATCTGTTCAGCTTGGTATGTGTATGTAGTATGTTCAGGGGTCCATACGTGTGTATAGAGGCCAGAGGTTGATGTTGAGTACCTTCTTCAATCATTCCATTTTATTTACTGAGGCAGGGTCTCTTGCTGAACCTGGAACTCTCTGATTCATCTAGTCTAACTAGTCGGCTTCTCCAGGGATCCTGTCTCTGCCTGCTAAACCCTGGGATTATGAGTATAGGTGGCTACCATGCCCAGCCTGCTGTGATGTGGATCTGAGGATCTGAATTCTAGCCCTCTTTTTTAAAAAATTTTTAGAAAATTTATTATTTTTATTTTGTGTGTATGAGTGTATCACCTGCATGTATGTGAGTGCACCCATGTTGTGCAATGCCCTCAGAAGAAGGCGTCAAATTCCCCTGGAACTGGAGTTAAGGACGGTTTGTAGTGGCCATGTGGGTGCTGGGAATCGAACCTGGGTCCTCTGCAAGAGAAATCAGTGCTCTTAACCGCTGAGCAATCTCTCCAGCCCTTAGTCCTTACTCTTGTGTGGCAAGTGATTTATCCACTGAGCCAGCCCCTGTTCAACTTATTACCCATTATTTTTCCTTAAGCTGGTTTTCTGTCTTATCAGAATTAGAAAATTACTCATGATACTGATTTTAGACAAGGCAGATTGATTTTAAGTCTGAATAAATGACCTAGGAGTCAGACACCATGGTGCATGCCTATGATCCTGACTACTTGGGAGACTGAAGTAAGAGAATCATGAGTTTAGGGCATCACAGTGAGACCCAGTCCTTTATTTAAATACAAACAAATGACAAAGGGACTGGAAAGATGATGGCTCAGTGGGTAAGGTCCTTGCCGCATAAGCATGAGGACTTGAGTTTGGTTCCTAGCACCCACATAAAAGCTGGGCATAGTGCCTCTAACCCCAGCACTGGGGGTGAGCGGGGCAAAGACAGATGGATCCTTGGAACTCACTGGCTAGCCATCCTAGCCAACTGGTAAGCTACATGTTCAGTGAGAGAGACTGTCTCAAAAAATAAAATTGAGGCACTGGAGAGATGGCTCAGCGGTTAAGAACACTGACTTCTTGCAGAAGACCTGGGTTTGAATCCCAGCACCCATATGGCATCTAACAACTGTCCATAACTCCAGTTCCAGGGGATCCGACAGCCTCTTCTGTCCTTGGGCGTTGCACGACACAGGTGCACTTACCTACACACAGGCAATACACACATACACATAAAAATAATAAATTATAAGATAAGGTTGAAACTATAGGGGAAGGCATCTGACAGCAACCTCAGGCCTCCAAATCCATGTGCACAGAAGTGCATACACATGAATACATACATATACCATAATACCATACACATGTCTGCAAATTGACGAACTGGGGATGTAGCTCAGTGGTAGAGCACATGCTTAGCGTGTGCAAAGCCCCAGATTCAGTTCCCATCACTTATTCTCCAAAGAAATGGGCAGAATTTTGTATTTGAGAAACAAGTCCTACTTGTCTGTGAACAGTTCTAAACCTAACATGAAAAGAACATTCTAGCCCGACATGGTGACGGATACTTGTAATCCCAGCACGTGGGAGGTGAATAGGAGAATCAGGAGTTCAAGGCCAGCCTGAGCTATCAGACATACTTTAAAAACACTCTATTGTGCATCTTTTCTTTTTGAGACAAGGCCTCTGATTTTCCTGCCTCAGTCTCCCAGTGCTAGGCATGTGTCACTGATTGTATGTTACCTAATAGACGCATCTTACTTTTGGTGTATGGTGGAAGGCAAGTGGGAAGCCATAACTGAAATACTGGGTTATGCTGGGAATTTTGTTTGTCTTTCCCTTTTAGGATGGTTTGACCGATGCTGATGCCTGTTAATCATCTTCTAGGTATTGCTAACACCCTGGATCTCACAGACAGAATTCTGCCGAGACTTCAGGCTAGAGAAAACTGTAAGCCACAGCTCTTGAACTTCCCACCTTATACCAGGAGTCAGATAGCTATGATCTTACAGGATCGACTTAATCAGGTGAGCGCCAACTGCTATGCCGCATTCTTTCCCAGGGATCTTTTTGTCACAGAAACCTAGCAATAGGTGTAAAATATTTTCTTTGATTGCTTTATTAATGGTGTGGGGAACTCCTCTGGGCCATAATGAGTATGCACCTTTTTATGTGAATTTGTACACACAGTCCTACTTACTACTGGTAGCTTCGGTGCTGAAATGAAAAGTAGGGATTAGAAGACTCAAATGCCTCCTTAATGGCCTTTAAAAAGTGGGCCTGAGAGCCGGGCATGGTGGTGCACGCCTGTAGTCCCATCACTTGGGAGGCAGAGGCAGGCGGATCTCTGTGAGTTCAAGGCCAGCCTGGTCTACGTAGTGAGTTCAGCTGGGGCTAGAGGGAGACCCTGTCTCAAAAAGACAAAAACTAAATAAATAAAAGTGGGCCTGGGCCATTGAGGTGGCTCAGCAGGTGAAGGCACTCGCTGCCAAGCCTGATTGCCTGAGTCTGCATGAGGACCTACATTGCAGAAGGAGAGAACTGACTCCTGCAAATTGCCCTCTGACCTCCACATCTGCTGTGGCATGCACATGCCCACCCTCCCCTCCACGCACACAAGATCAGTAAATGTAATAAAATTTAAAATGTAGGACCTTTGGAAAAAAATTTGTAGTTCCAGGTGCCATTCTCTCCTTCATGAGCCACCACATGCCTACAAAGTCCTTAAATGTGTACTCAAATATCTTCTCTTTTTTTTGGCTTTTTGAGACAGGGTTTTCCTGTAGCCCCAGCTGTCCTGGAACTCACTATGTAGACCAGGCTGGCCTCGAACTCAGACAGATCCGCCTGCCTCTGCCTCCCAAGTGCTGGGATTAAAGGTGTGCACCACCACACCTGGCTGTATCTTCATTTTTTAAAAAAAATTTTTATTTTATGTGTATGCATGTATTGCCTGCATGTGTGTCGGGCAGTGCAATCGGAGGTCAGAAGAAGGTGTCGAATCCCCTGGAACTGGACTTATGGACGGTTGTTAGCTGCCATGTGGGTGCTGGGAATTGAACCTGTAAGAGTCTGTGCTTTTAACTGCTGAGCCATCTCTCCAGCCTCTCAAATATCTTCCTTTAAGAACAAGAAAGGCATTTCTCTTATTCCCTATATCTAGAACCTAAATTACTAAGAGAAATTCTTAGAGTCCAAATTGTCTTCTATTTATTTTTCTGGTACTGGGGTTCACAAACTCACACAGTAGCCAAGTGCTCTACCACTGAGCTACATGCCTAGCCACTTTCAGCTTTTTATTTGAGAGAGTCTCACTAAGTTACCCAACCTGGCCTTGACTTTAGATCCTTCTGCCTTAGATAGCTATGATTACAGGCCTGTGTCACCAGACCTGGCTCAAATTATCTTCTGTATCTTGTCTGAAGGTGTCTAGAGACCAGGTTCTGGACAATGCTGCGATTCAGTTCTGTGCCCGCAAAGTCTCAGCTGTCTCTGGAGACGTTCGCAAAGCACTGGATGTTTGCAGGTGAATTATAGCACTGTTGCCTGCTTTTATTAAAAAAGAAGAAATGTTGTTAATTGTCTCATGTAACTCAAGTGACTGGCTTAAGAGGCTCCATCCTGCTCCTTTTTACACGCAGGAAAGAGGACTTGTTTCTCAGTGGGGAGTTCTGGATTTCCACCGTGTTAATGTCTAAAACATTATCAGTCCATTACCTACAGAGGGAGAAATAAATGAGATGTTGCTGGCACTCCCTGTGGTGATTATAGATTGGTTAATTACATTTGTATTAAAAAAGACTCCAGTTTACTTTTCCATTAGCTGATCTCAAGCAGGTTTATTTATGGACCTGAACCATCTTTGCCTTTAGACTTTCTTTCTGTTCCTTTCCTTTTGTGGGCACCCCTTCTCCCTCCAGTTGGTGGTCCCCCAAGTCTACTCTAGACTTCTTTCTCCTTTCCATCCCCCTGTCCCTCCTGCTGGGGAGAGCCTCTGTCCTGACTGATGAAATTTCTTCCCTCCCAGTAGGGATACTGGGTCCATTAAAATGATCCTTGCTGTGCTGGCCTGCTGGTCCAACTTCCCCCTCCTGCCATGCAGAAGATCCAGGTCTGGCTTATAGTTTCCTGTGGGCAAAGCACTTTGGAGAGAGCAGTGGGAGAGTAAGCTCTTCCTGTTGCTAGATGGCATGATCTGGAATTTGAAACTTTCCCCTAGTCAGCAAACTACTTGAGTAAAGAATACAGCTATCAGCATTAGCCATGTAGGCCACAAGATGTGACCTATCCATATCCTACATACATCTCAAGACTCACCTTTTAGGTCTGCTATGTAGGGGTGTTGTAATTCTCCTTAGTTACCCACAAACCATAACCCCTCTCCTACCCAGGACATTGCTCCTCATCCAAAATGTTACTGGCCTACTGTATGACAGCCTACTTGGCTTCTGCAAGAGGAAACCAAGTAGTGTTGAAGTTTCTCAGATCCCTGGTCTGTGAATTATTTTAAAAGCAGTTGAGACCCCTTTAGCTAAAACATGACCCAGTTTGTTTAGGGACCTTAATGTGTGTGTGTGTGCGTGTGTGTGTGTGTATATGCCCATATATGCACAGGTGCCCATGGAGGCCAGAAGATGAGAGCCGCCTGATGTGGGTGCCAAGAACCAAACTTGGGAGGGGCCTTAATTTTTTTTAAAAAAAAATGCTGTTTTTAGTTAATGTGCCTGTTTTTTGGCTTGGTGGCTTGGTGTGGTGTTTGGTTTGGCTCAGACCAAATTAATTTTAGGAATATTTTTATAGGCGAGCTATTGAAATTGTGGAGTCAGATGTCAAAAGCCAGACAATCCTCAAACCACTGTCTGAATGTAAGTAGCTTATCTCCTTCCTGTCTTCCTTTATAATTGGAAAACTAACTTTTTTGAGGAAAGAGAAGGATGACATGAATGTTAAACCCACAGTTAAGGTGTGTGTTCACTTCCATCTACTCTGTTTCAGTCTTGCCTGCCAGTACCTTAGTCCATGTGTTACTGGAAATGAATTCACTAGGGTGTTACATAAATGGTTGGGATAAATTAAGTTTTTCAAAGCTCTAGGAATGAAAACTAGACAGTGGTTGGATCACCCTGTCTCTGGGTGTTTATGTTGAGTGCCCTTTAGGTCCTTATGTAGGTGAAAGTTAATACCTGATGAATAAGGGGGAATCTGGTTAAAGAATTATAGGTTCACCTCAGGATACCTTAAGCCTTTAAACCAGTCAGGGAGGATAGAGGTGGAAAGATCATATTGCTACAGTAAACCACAAAGATTATCAAATAAATGACTTTTAATTTTCCTTTTCCTCAGCCCTGTCCTCTTCTCTGTGATAGTAAGATGGCTATGAACTAACCACATGCTTCTCCGTGTTTACTGTCCTGTGTTATCTGTACAAACAAGATGGCTTGACTTGTTTTTTCCTTCATTCCTGCACTGGTTGGGACTTCAGAATTGTTTGAGTACTATAGCACCACATAAAAAACTTTATTTCTTCAACTTTTTTTTTTGGTCTTTTTGAGATAGGGTCTCCCTGTAGCCCCAGCTGTCCTGGAGCTCACTACATAGACCAGGCTGGCCTTGAACTCACAGAGATCCACCTACCTCTGCCTCCCAAGTGCTGGGATTAAAGGTGTGCGCCACCATGCCTGGCCTATTTCTTCAACTTTTTAAAAAAATATTATTTTTTTTATTTTATGTGTACTAGTGTATTGCCTGCATGTATGTGAGTGCACCTATGTCATGCAGTCCTACATAGGTCAAAAGAGGACATTGGATTCCCTGGAACTGGAGTTAAGGATGGTTCTTAGCCACCATGTCAGTGCTGGGAATTGAACCAGGGTCCTCTGCAAGAGCAGTCAGTGTTCATAACCACTGAGCCATCTCTCCAGCCCCTTCATTGGGCTCTTATCAACTCAGTTGAGGTGTTCACCCATGGGTAACTGACATAGCATGCGTATGACAGCTTCTGCGTAGGTTGTAGTGAAGAATGCAATACAGTCAGTCAGCACGTGCATCGTGACTAGGGATGGTAACCTGGGGAAGCTCACCTGTGAACTAATGGCCTTATGATCATTTTGGAGATGAGGAAAGGCAGTACAAGTTGTCACATGACTTGGCCTGGGGCTTGAGAACAGAGAATTCCAGAGCCCAGCTTTGGGTTTTAAAGGGCTTAGTCTTTCTATCAAATCATTCCCTTTGGTTTTGTTCATGGAAATATAATTTGTACACAAATCCTAAATGATGAACACAAAAGTGTAGATGGATGTGGGTACCTATTGGTTATCTGACTCCAGCCTGAAGCCTGGGCTCAAGGAGAAGCACGGGGGCCACCTCTGAGGGGTGGACAGCCTTTTTCACCTCTCCTGTGCAGCCTGGACACCACAGTGTTTGGGATTCCAACCAAGGAAGGGGTCTTATTACTTAAAACTAAACATTTTTTTAAAACCTCATCTGCTATAACCCATACATTTTACAATGAGGAAATGCAGAGACCTAGGAAGGTAAAATACTTTTTCCAGCAAAAAGATAGAGGGAGAAATGGCATGATGTCAGTTAAATAATGGTTCAGACAGTGGTTTTCTCTTTAAAGCTCTAGTATAGTCTATGGAAGCCACAGTATTAGGTCTTCTTGTCTGGGTCCTATCCTCCCTGAGAGGGGAGCTAGGCATCCATGGACAGTCTTCCCTCGTTTCTCAATACAGTAACCCTGTGTTGCTATTTGACATGTTTCAAGATATTTCTGCAAGTAGTGCTATCCGACATGTTGCAAGGCACTTTTAGCAGACCTGGCTGTCCTCGATGCACTTGATGCCAATAATTCCCCATGAATGTTATAGGGAAGCATAGTGTATGCCTGTACATACTGGGTCTATATTCCATCATGCATGTCCAAATACCTGCTAGAGGAAGAGCACAGCCAGAAACTACATCAGTGGGTCACCCACCCTTTACCTGTACCTGCCTAACTGCTGGCCTTGCCTTGTACCTACCCAACACCAGTATCCCCTCATGCACACTTTGCTGTCTATCTTGTTTGGTGGACAGTGGCTACTGCTTTGTTAACAGGTCCCCAGGCCTGCTGTATGCCTTGGAGAGCCAGCTTAACTGCTGAGCCATCTCTCCAGCCCCTATCTCTTCAACTTTTAAAGATTATTCCTCCTTTTCCCCTACTAGTAACATAGGCCCTGTGAGCACCACTAACACACATTGCTAACAGGTTTTAAGTTCCTGGCATAAATTAAGAGACAAACCTAATTCCTTTTGACTTCTGATATGTGTGGGGCCAGTTTCAATGGCTCCAGAAGGACACTGACTTCAACTAAATAAAAGAAGGAATCTTCTAGTACATAGAAATAACTAGGTTCCCCAGCATTGAAGATATACAAACAAAAGTTGGTTAGAAACTGAGTGAGGTGGACCACACCATACCTGTAATCCCAGCATTCAGGAGGAAGATCACCCCAAGTTCAAGGCCAGCTCAAGCTACATAGGGAAACTGCCCTTTTTTATTTTTAATGTGTATGAGTGTTATGCCTACATATATGTAAGTGTACCCCAGGTGTGCAATGCCCATAGAGGCCAGAAGAGGGTGTTGAATCCCCTGGAACTGGAGTTATGGATGGTTTTTGGCTGCCATGTGGGTGCTAGAAACTGAACCCAGGTCATATACAAGAACAGCCAGTGCTCTTAACCAATAGCCATCTCTCCAGTCCCAGTAAACTTTTTTTTCTTATTAATACAGTATGTATCTTCTCTGTGTAAAACCCTGAGCCAACCACTTTCCCCAGAGTTCCTGGGAAGGTACAGGAAAAGGAATATACAGCACAGACAGACATGAGAGCAAGAACTATGGGAGATAGCTGTTTTACATGGTGAAGAGGATGAGGAAAGTCACCATTAGACAAAAGGGCCCCGTGGCCTCCAAGAGGGCAAAGCCCAGAATTGCATAGGAAAAGAGCTGTTGCTTCAGAGCTGGGTTCCTGGTATAACCAATGATGAGGCTCCCAAACACAGTCCCAGTCCCAGAGCCAGCCACCCCAACTGTGGCTGCCCCCGCCCCAGTGAACTTGGCTACTATGTCAATGTCCCTTGAAATGGTGCTTGTTTGGAAGCTACAGCTAGGGATGAGTGAGGTCAGGGGACCTGGGACTGCCAAGCTGCTGAGGCTCTCATCTGCCAGTGTCTGGTTGTTTCAACACCACTGCAGATAGGGGGTCGACTCAGTAGCTGAGAAGTGTTCTGTGCACCAAGGAGCAAGCATACATTTTCAGGGGTGCAGGGCCAAGGCAGGAGAGCTGCTCCCAGGGCAGAGAAGGCAGACCCAGGAGACTCTTACACAAACAAAAAAGTTGGGTGATTCACCTCATGTTGGGGTTGTTTTAGAAGAGACTCAGCCATTGTGTAGGGAGTAAGAATAGCCCTCCAAGTTCCTTTCAACTCTAAGGTTTGGACACTTGATCTCTGAGCTCTGGTTTCTACATTAGTCCTCTGCAACTTCCCATTTGTAGTAATGACATAGAAGCAAATTGTTGTGGGACAACTACAGATGGTCTCAGGAAGTGATGTCAGGCAAAGGTTGTGAGAGAACAAATTCTGCCTCTGCCTTGGAGTCAAGCTTCTCCAGACAATGAGACCGTTGCAGCTTCTTGGCAGTTTCCTAGCCTCACTTTGGAGGGAGTGCTATCTGCTAGGCTATCCAGTGGTATTTTCTCAAGTGTTGTCTTGCAGATCAGCTTGTACAAATGAACAAACTCCAAGCTCATTTCGGGGAGGTCATCTGGGAGACTGAAGTGGGATTGACTGTCCACACTTATCCATTCATTTGACTCAAAATACTGGATAATTTTCCTATCTTAATTCCCAGGCCAGACATCTTTTCTTCAAGGTTCAATGCTAAGGGTGAAACCCAGGGCCATGTCGTAGGCAAGTGTTGTATCACCAAACTTCATTCCTACCCCAACCCTGTTCTTTACCTCTGAATCAGAGAGGCAGGCATGGTGATACATGCATGGAATTCCAGGACTAGGGAAACTGAGGCATGGAGGATGAAAACAACAAACCACGTGTGGCAGTGCACACCTGTAATCCCAGCACTGGGGAGGTGGAGGCAGGAAGATGAGTTCAGGGCCAGCCTGAGTCTGCTGCTTACTTGTTGCGGGGGGAGGGGTTGTTTTGTTTTGTTTTTGGTCTTAAACTACATTCAGAAGGACAAATAGCTCATAAAATTTGACTTATTTACAGGTAAATCATCCTCTGCGTCTCTGGTTCCCAAGCGTGTTGGTCTTGTTCACATATCCCAAGTCATTTCCGAAGTTGATGGTAACAGGATGACTTTGAGCCAAGAAAGAACACAAGATTCCCTCCCTCTTCAGCAGAAGATCTTGGTTTGCTCCTTGCTGCTGGTGACCAGGCAGTTGAAAGTAAAAGAGGTCACTCTGGGAAAGGTAAGCTGGGCATCCCAGCAGGTAGAGTTGGGGTAGAGATGAAATTCTTCTTTAGAATATGGGCATATTTTTGCTGGGCGTGGTGGTGAATGCCTTTAGTCCCAGCACTCAGGAGGCGGAGGCAGAGGCAGGCGGATCTCTGAGTTCCAGGCCAGCTGGGGCTACAGGGAGAACCTGTCTCAAAAAGACCACCCTCCAAAAAAAAGTGGATATTTTCCAAAGGACATATCATGCTCCAGCTGGTACAAATAAAAAATGGGTTTTTTAGTAAGAATAAACACTACTAGTATTATTTAAAAGGTTGTTGATAGCTTTTCAGAGATTCACCTGCCTCTGCCTCTGGAGTGCTGGGTGTGGGGTACCACCTTTAATCCCAGCACTCGAGAGGCAGGTGAATCTCTGAAATCACCATAGGTTATGAGATGGGACTTTTAAGCAACATTTTATTTTCCCTTGTTTCCTCTCAGTTATATGAAGCCTACAGTAGCATCTGTCGCAAACAGCAGATGGCAGCTGTGGACCAGTCGGAGTGTTTGTCCCTTTCAGGGCTCTTGGAGTCCAGAGGCATTTTAGGGTTAAAGAAGAACAAGGAGGTCCGCCTCACAAAGGTACAAGGAACACTGTGTAAACTGTCTTGTTTGGGAGAGCTCATCTTGAAATGACCGCTAAAAATTTGTTTCTGTTAGTTAGGGTTTCAGATGTGTGGGATGGGTGTGTGGTATGAATGAGATTCTTTTTTCAGGCCATTGAAAACAGCAGTGTTTAACTGGTTTCTTATGAGGAAAGTTTAATGTGATAGAAAGTGTCACGGAAAATTCTTTTCTCTTTCCAGGTGTCTCTGAAGATTCAAGAAAAGGAGATAGAGCATGCTCTGAAGGACAAAGCTTTGATTGGAAATATCCTAGCTACTGGGCTGCCTTAAATGCTTCCTACACCTCACTGGGACGTGTTCGGTGGGCATTTGGCACACTAGGGAATCTTCATTTTAGTGCTTTATACTCAGGTCCTTTGAAAACAAGACCTTTTTTACTTAAAACTGATGAATTTTAATGTATAGATTCATGAGTATTAACACAGGGTAATATTTTGGGGTCTTTTGTTTTTACCCACAAAAATACCCAAGTAGCTGGGTTGCACATGCCTATAATCCCAGCACTTAGAGGTGGAGACAGGAGGATCGGGAGTTCAAGGTCCTTCTTGGCTACATAGTTAGTTTGAGGCCTTGAGGCCTACCTGGACTACATGAGACTCTATCTTTTAAAAACAATGACCAGTGAATCCTTTTTAAATTATGTTCAGTACCTTTCCCACACATGCTTACAAGTATATGCTGATTTATGTTGCAGAATATGTATATATTTACTTTTAAGTATAAACAGTATATTTAAGGACTTTGAAGTTAAGGTTAAGAAGAATGAAAAGAAATGATCCAGAAAAGTAGACACACCTCCATGGAAATTTGAAGGTTAAAGAATTTCGTTTTGGCTGGGCGTGGTGGCGCACACCTGTAGTCCCAGTACTTGGGAGGCAGAGGCAGGCGGATCTCTGTGAGTTCAAGACCAGCCTGGCCTACATAGTGAGTTTCAGGACAGCAGGGGTCACAGGGAGACCCTGTCTCAAAATGACAAAAGAAAAATTTCATTTTGACATTTGATGCATCCACACCGTCGATACCACACTGGACATTTTAAAAGATTCGCTGAGTTTCTTGAGTATTCCCAATGTGGGGGAGAGTGTACCTACAGATTGTGAATATATTTATTTTCCAAGTTTCTTTTTTTTTTTTTTAAGGACTCATTTATTTGTGTGTGGACGTATATGTTCCATGGCATGCATGTGGAGGTCAGGACAGCTTGGCAGGAGTTATTTCTCAACTTCTACCATGTGAGTCTTGGAGATTGAACTCAGGTCCTTGGGCTTGGAAGTACTTTCACCCTGTGAGCCTTTGCACAGGCCCACATGTCTTTTTAAGTTACATTTCATAAGAACTTAAGCTTTCAGAAATTAGTATGAAAATTCCTTCCTATAGTGTCCCACAGTCTTAGATGCATTCACGAGGCCGATATTTCAATATGTGTCCATTCAGGTTGATTTTCATCTGAAAAGATATTTTTCTAGTCTTATTAAATAAATTCATCCGTATGGTTACTGGAGCCTTTTCTGGGTTTGATTTCCAGTGGCATTAAGTGGCAGTTTGTCACAAGGACACCAGAGGGCACCATTATAACACTGCTTTGAAAGGTTTGGGGCAGGCTAGGTTTTTTTTTTTTTTTTTTTTTTAATGTGTATACATGTATTGCCTGCATGTAGGTTAAGTGCACCCGTCATTGCAATGCCTGCAGAGACCGTCAGATCCCATGGAACTGGAGTTAACGGACAGTTGTTAGCTGCCATGTGGTTGCTGGGATATGTGGGGCAGGGTAGTTTTGAAGGAAGGGACAGAGGTACTTGAGTTGCTTGGGAAGTTGCTATTCATTTATTCCCTGGGCCTGTCTGCCGTCTTCTGCCTTTCTGATAAGACTTTAGGTTTGGGAATTTGATATGTGTACAAACGATCTGATGGCCACTGTTTCGTTCATTCTGCCCACTGTATCCTTGTAAAGTGATCTGCGCTACAGCAGGTGGTAAGGGCTCAAAGGGCAGTAAGCCCTCGAAAGGAACACGACCTACCAGTGTGTGTAGCAGAGGAGTCCATCGAGTTTGAATGTCACACTTAAACTCCTTTACCAGAGTGTTTATACTCTCTGAGGCAATTTGCAAGTGGGGAGGACAGTCCTCCGCCAAGAAGTTTGGAAAGTGTCTGGGGCTATGAGGGTTAACAAGCATAATTGTAAAGATTGTCCAAAGGCTAATGGAAAGCAGAGACTGAATGGGATTGAGAACAGATGCGAGGCTTGATTTAAATTACATTTTATTGGATGCTGCAGCCTTAAGAGACGTGACTGCTTTACAGTTTGTTTCCACACTGTGGGCAGCTGCTGTCTGTTCTATGTCCACAGTAGGATCCTGCCCAAAAAGGAGCGGCCTCCCCACCTCGTTGTGTTTGAGGCTTGGCGCCTTCCTCTAACTCTGGGGCTTGAGTCAGGAACATGGCTTGCCTCTCAGTGGGGCTGCTGTGTATCCTCCCTGGCTTCTAGCCAAGATCACATTTGTAGATTCAGAGGGGCCAAATTTCTTCCCCTCTGCCTCCTTTCTCCTTCCCTTGGTATTTTGAAATAGGGCTTTCTGTATACTGGTTTGTTAGTTTCCTTCAGCTCTCCCCACTGCCAATTTTCTAGGTCATCGCTGCTCTTAAGACTTCAGCAATTGGAACAGGTTTGGTTCTGTCAGTGATGCGTGAAGCAGACTTAGAGTCCCTGTTTGGCTTCCACTGCTCTTGTGGGAGCAAGAGCTGATAAATGTTTGTCAGTAAAGTCTTAAGTGTAAATTCAGACAGCCAGAGCAGAAGGGAAGAAGGAAGTCCTTTCCTTGCTGATTTTTCTCACTTGAAGCTGAGTGCTATGGGAAGGTAGTGGGAGTTTAAGTAGGATGGGATGGGCCTGTGGTTACTAGTTTTTGCCAGAATCTTAGGCCACTCTGCATGGAGTAGTGGCAAAGATGCTGACCTACATTCTTCCCTTTGAAGAGAGTGGGGTATGTATCTATATTCTGGACTCTTTTTTTTTTTTCTTTTTTAAGAACCAGATTAAGCTTCGGCTTCCATAGTGTTGGATATTGCTATGGAAAGAACATAGACCCACTAAGCTGGTGTGAGTTTCAACCCCAGGGCTGCCACTGACATTTCTGGCTCAACAGAGACTTGCCTGTGGCTAGCTAACTGCAAGAATGTGTGAGGTCCAGGCTACCCAGAAATCAGAAAAGTTGGCAGAGCTCTCTGTTCTTCCCACCCTTCCATTGCTCCCTGTCTCCCCTCCCCACCTCCATGCTAGGCAAGCAGTCTACCACTAAAATGTATCCCTTCCTGCCTTTATTAAGTGCCCTCTTAAGATGCACAGTAAACTGGCCTGGTAGTACAGGCCTATAATCCCAGCCACTTGGGAGGATTACAAATTCAAGGCCAGTCTGGGCAACTTTGTGAAACCCTGTCTCAAAAAGGAAAAAGAAAACTAGGGATAGTTCAGTGATTGACTGCTTGCCTAGCATGCATAAGGCCCTAGGTTCAATCCTTGGTGCTGGAAAAGACAATAAAGACCTATAACTTATTTTGGCTATATATTTTCAAACACCCTGACTGGGGAGATAGCTTATTTGGTAAAGTACTTGCCATGTAAGCCTGCTGACCTGAGTTCAGTCCCCACAGAACACCCCCCAACACACACACATACACACACATACAAAATATTTTAATACTAGCACTGGGGAGACTGAGACAGACCAGTCCTCTGGGGTTTTCTGGCTAGCCAGCCTAGCCTACTTGGTAAGCTTCAGGAAAATAAGACACCCCTTTGCTTAAGCAAAGTGGACAGTTCCTGAGGAATGACACCCAAAGTTGACCTTTGGTCTCCACATGTACAAAAATATCTTGACTATAGGAGAGAAAAAGCCAAAATTGAGGGTTGGCTTTTGTTTATAGTGCAGGAAATTGAATGTGGAGCCACATGTGTGCTGGGGTAGCTCTCTTCCCTGAGCTACACCCTTGTCCCAAGACTTGTGATTTTATTTACATTTGTATTTGCCTCTAGCACTATAGTGCCAGACTTCTGGTAGTTAATAACTATTCAGTGAATGGAAGAACAGGGAAGACGCTGCCTTTTCCCCATCTTGACAGTTCTCAGCTGAGGGTAAATGCTAGTGCTTCTGCAGCAAGATGAACCAGCCCCTGCAAAAGAATTTATCAGACCAGAGTGCCCTGGCAGTTGTGGAGAGAGACTTGGTCTCACAGATAATCACTCCCTTGGTTGTATTTTGCTTGAGGAAAGCTTTGGCTATGGGGTGAGACTCTTGTCTACAGGCTAGAAAGAGGGGTGCCTATCTGGATGTTACCTCCTGTCCTGAGAAGTTGGCCAGAAAGTTGCCTCTAGTTGGTAAGGGACTAGGGAGGAACCCACCTTTGATGTCCTACTTTTTGGGTTTTGGGGAAAGTTTTGGTCTCAGGTTCCCCCTGGAAAGCCAAGGTGCCCTCTAAGACATGCCCTGAAACTAAACTAGGGGGCTTCCTCTCGGCAGAGGTAGGTGTAGGAGCCAAGGAGTGCCCTCTGGCCTCCCCTTATTCCAACCCCAGACACTAGCTTCTGCTGAAGCTGATTGGGTGCAAGGGGCCTGGGTAAAGGTTGAAGACTGGCAAAAGGAGAAAGCCAGCTCCCATTTTTTAAAAAAGCTCTAATTGAGTTCTGAATCAGCCCCACTTGCTTTGATCCCTCCTCTGTTTCCCACACTGCCTGAAAGAGCTAGATCAGCACTTCGTAACAAGGGTGCGCCAGCTCCCCACACCCGCCCCCCCCCAACGCTCTCTGCTGCCGCCATCCACTGCTTGTCTCCTTCAGTTAAGATAATGAAGATGCTGAGAGATAAAATGTGTATTTAATAAGGGTGGGGGCAGGGAGGCGGAAAGGGGCAGTCAGGGCCTTCCCTAGTTTGGGGCCTCGCCAAGACTAGCTGAAAGCAAAGCTAGAGTAAGACTTGGCCTCTGGGTGTGGGGGTTTCTGGGCCTCCATCCAGCTGACTTCACTGCCTGCTGTTTGCCCTAAATTCCCCCACCTCCACCCTCACCCCCACACTCTTCCTCTCTGCTTGCTCCCAGTGGGAAAAAGGAGTCTTGCTTGACTTTCTTTTCAGCTGGTAACTTGGCCATTGCCATAGTGCCCCCACCCCAGTGTCAGCTGCAAGGTCAGGCTAGGGCAGCCCCCTGTAGCCTGGGCCTGTAGAAGCTGTGGGTTCACGGTGGGGGGTGAAAAAGCTGGAGTTAATGAAGACCAGCTGCCCGGCTGGGTTCTGCCTACAGCTAGCTGGAGGCCAGCCTTTGGTGGTGGTTAGGTGGAGGGGGAGGGTGACCTCCATCCCTGGGTACAAGGATATCCTGTGGCAGCTGGGCCTATGCTCCCTGAGCTTGGTTTCATCTTTAGTCTGTAAGAGAGTCTTCTGCTTCCCCCTTCCCCTGCTCCTCCCCACCCCAAATAACACTCAGCCCTTATTGAGCTTTTAAACTGGAATGGTTGGTGGCCCAGCTGAGATCTGAGGATCTTCAAGCCGTTTGGTAAACACTCATTAACTGCCTGGGAAGAACCCCCAGTCCTGTTTAACAGCTGGGAGAGAACTGAGGCACACTGGGGTGAAAAGCTTGACCTGAGCTCACCCCAGGGACTCTACCCTACCTGGGGTCCCATCCTCCAGTCCAGCTTCTCCAGTTCTTGCAAGTCATAGACAGCAGAGGCACTGCTTCTGCCCTCTCCCCTTTTAGGAAGAGGCGATGTGCTCTCCTTTCCCTCAATCTGTCCTTGTCTCCTGGCCCTTCACCTCATGACATTTTCCCTACCTCTGCTGCTGGAGGTGATCTATAACTCTCCTTGCAAAATGTTCTCAGTACAGCACTCTGTAGTTCCCGGTCATCTCCCGGTTGTCCACTTGGACCCCCTCAAGCCTGAATTCTCCCTTTGAGGTGACCAGAGAAAGGACAACCACTGAAGGTTGGTTATCCTAAACTGAATCAGTGACCTTGAAGTTGATCTATTACGAGATCCATTTGCCCCAGAATACCTTGGAAAATACTCTTGAACGTGTTCATTATGGTAATAAAGATTCAAGATCCTGTTGAGGGCTGGGCAAGGCTTTGGTTGACCTCTAGGTTCTGTGACCTGTTTCCCTGCTAATTGCCATTTCTAGTACTGGAGGTAGCCCAAAGTCCTCTTCTTGCTGCCCTTCCCAGCCCCACCTGCTCAGACCCTCCTACACCTGTGTTGCCCACCACAGGCTCCCCCAAATACACATCTCAATCCAACAGTAACCATGCTGATACAAAACACTGCCAGCCTCCAATGCCACTTAAATCTGCCTACTTGCTGAAGATCAAGGATCCCCCCCCACACACAAGGCCTGTTAGGCCTTTAGGGATAGTGGGCTGGGATGAGAGGGTTACAGTCCGAAAAAAGGACAGAAGCAGGCACCTGTCCAAAAGGCAAGTTCCTTTCCCCCCATTCTCAGTGGCTAAATAGCCCAT